ACCTGCAAATAATGACAGTCTTACTTCTTCCTTTCTAATTTGAATGCCTTTTATTTCTTTGTCTTATTGCTGTGACTAAGACTTTCAAGACTATGAATTCTTACCATTTTATCTTGCCCATTCTCTTTGAAGATAAACTTTCTTGCTTGCTTTTGTGGCTGTAGTTATTTTTAATAAACTTTTAAATTTTAAATTGGTTTTATAATTACAGGAAAGTTAAGATAGTACACAGAACTCCCCTATATCCTACACCATTTTTCTTTTTCATATTAACATCTTATATTAATTTGGTATATTTGTGAAAATTAATGAATATGTATCAATACATCATGATTAACTAAAGTTTCTACTTCATTCAGATTTCCTTAATTTTTACCTGATTATTGTTTCCAATTCCAGGCCCCATCCAGAATACCACATTACCTTTAGTTGACATGTCTCTTTAGTCTCCTCTTAGTTGTGACAGTTTCTCAGACTTTCCTTATTGTTGATAACCTTGACAGTTTTGTGGAGTGCTGGTCAGCTATTTTTTAGATAGTCCTTCAGTTGGAATTTGTTTGATGTTAGACAAAGGTTATGAGTTTTTGGGAGGAAGATCACAAAGATAAAGTGCTGTTCTCATCACATCATATGAAGGGTACATACTATCAACATAATTTATGCCTGTTGATGTTAACCTACCACGTGCCTGAGGTAGTTTTATTTGTCAGATGTCCACTGTAAAGTTACTCCTCACCCATCCATCCCCTTTTCATATTGTATTCTTAGGAAGGAAGTCACTATGTACAACCAATCGAAGTTTCTTTCTTTTCACCGATTTGATGTGGGTATTTCTGATGGCTGTCTTTTCTCCACTGGTTTTTCAGGGGCCAGAATTATATTTTGCTAACATCCCCTACGGCTTTTTCATCTAAATCCAGTCAGTGTTAAGGGAAGGAAAATTTGGAGGAGAATGTTTGCTTTTAAAATCCATGGCCTGAAAATGGCACACATAACTTTCGCTTCCATTCCATATGACACTTATTCATCTGCCAAACCTAACTGCAAGGGAGGCTAGGACATATGGTCTAGCTGGGTGCCTAGGAAAAAGAGGAAATTAATTTGGGAGAAAAGCTAGAAGTATCTGCTACACCACTTTAGAGTATAAAAGGCAACAAATCACACCCCCCATTTAATAATACAGCCATCAATTAATAAAAAAAATTGGAAAAACATAATTTCAGAATCAAGAATAATCATATGAATTGAAAAAATATCTTAATAAAAAATGTATTGCATTGGCCCTATTTTTTTTATTTCACTGTTGACCTATAAACATTTGTTGAGAACAATCTCTTACCAGCATGTCAGCATTTGAGAACTTCTGACATATATTATTCTAGACTCTGCATCATTCCCAGAGTCTACCATGTTGTTTTTTTGCCTCCCTGCATTATTTTTATGTCTGGAATGTCCTTCCTTTTTTTTTGCCTGTGATAATTCTACTTACTCTTCAAGTCACAGCTGAGGTGCCTTCATCCAACCTTGAGACAGAATCACTCCCATGGCCCTCGGCGCCATCATGTCGTTCTGCTTCTGTCCATCCTTTAACAGCTATCCCACATTAGTATTATATATAAATATGTTTCATGCATTATACTGGGTGCTCCCTGAGGACAGCCAGGTTTTATAAATCTATTAGACAATAGATTTATAATCTGACAAATTAAAAGCATGTTTGTTGAATGCACCCAGGATGCTAGATGTGCCCCAAAGTGGTCTCATTTCTGACCCCTTTTTAAAAATACAATAAAACATGTCCCCCCTGTCATAAATGTGATCCTCATGTATGATTACCAAGCCTTCACAGAAAAGGTGATCTTGAACTGAGCTTAGAAAGGTTGGTAGTGTTTGAAAGATGACAACAAGGGTATAGACCTGTCAGGCAGGTGATACTGTTTTCTATGACACATCCTCGGTTCAGGACATTTATTCAATAGGTGGTTAGGTGTCCTTTGAAACATCTGTAGTGCGAGATATTTGCTTTCATAGATCATCACATAATTAAAACTCAAACTTGGAACTTGTTCTGGAACTGCTGTTGGGCAGTGGGGGATGGTATAAAAGCCTAATGCTCATTATCTTGAACAGGAGTAACCAACCTAATTCCCAGAGCCCCAGTGCTGGTGGACGTTGGATGCAGATAGCTTCACTAGAGCAAATGAAGTGTTTAATTACAGCTACAGAAGAGGATCACCAAAAAAAACCAAAAAACAAAAACCCACAAAAAAACACAACACACCACCAAACAACAATAAAAAACCCCAACAACAATCATTTGTAGGCATTAATGAATCAGTTGCCATGCATCTCATTACCAACCAAAACATGCATTCTTAAAGTGACTTTATCAAGCTGATTGGAAAGAAAATATGAATTATAAGACTGTTGTTCCTTTCTCTTTTGTCCTTTTCTAGCCTCTACTCTTAACCTTCTGTTTACTTTAGTGACTTTACAAGCTCTATTAGTATTTTGTTAAAACATAAATCAGAAGATATAAATAGTCTGTTCACAGAATGCCCTTTTACCTCACACTATTTCTTCATTTTTCATGGTTGAAAAATTAGACCTTAATTATTATTTATAATCTTATGGGGTTGTTCAGTTCAGACTATCACATATATTTATTCATTTGGAATTCTCAATGATTATAGCTAGCATAGGAATTATTTTTCCCCCCTTATACAGATGTGGAAACTGAGGCTTAGATGTTAAATGACTTGCACAGTACCACTGGTGATTGTGATTCATAGCTACGTCTTCTGACTGCAAATTGAGAGCTAAGGGTGCCACAGCAAGACCTGCATGTCAGTCAGTTAGCCTCACGGCAGAGGCACACATGTCCTTTTTATTTTCCCTGATTAGCAATGTGTTTCTCACTTACTATCTCCAAATCTTCATGGAGGAAATTATCTTGAGCTGAGCCTGGAAAGGTTGGTAGGTTTGATAGATAGTTATTTGGGTACAGGATATTTTTTATAGTGAGGTTAGCTAACTTTATGCCCTTCCAACATGTCCCTGGTACGTCATGTTGGGTGGAACCCTTGGAAGCAATACATTGAAGGTGCATCTAATCCTTGATTTCTGCCACCACTCAGGACAGAGGATTCCAATATACACAGTCAACAGAGACTCATAGAAGGGACCTAAAGTTCATTTACTTTAATGTCTAGATATTTGAGGAAATTGAGGTCCACAAATTAAATAAAATGAATTTTACTTGCAAAGATAATTATAGTTATCAAATCAGAATGCCCAAATTACAATTCAGGTCTTTTATTATAACCCTCCTCTTTATTCACATTATATATATATATATATATATATATATATATATATATATTTGTTGTTGTTGTTGACAGTATTACAAATGTCCCCAAATTTACTCCCCTTTCTCCTCTACATCTAGCCCCTACCCTACCTCAGGCCTTCACTACACTGTTGTCTGTGTCCTGAGCTATGCAAATAGTATATATGTTTTTTGTTCAATCTCTTCCCATCCCCTCTGTGGTCCGTTCCATGCATGCATGCCTCTGGACCTATTTCGTTGGTCAGTTTATTTTGTTCCTTAGATTTCACAAATATGTGAGATAGGATATTTGTCTTTCTCTGACTGACTTATTTCACTTGGCATCTTTTCTACTTCTTAGGATTGCTTGTAAAAAGACATGTTTATATAGGCATTGCCTCATATCCCCAAATATCTGTGATCAAGTCATATGTGTAAAAGGCTAACCATAGACAAATGTTATAAGGAATAGGTCCATTCCCAAAGACTTAAATTTATTGACTCCTTAAATAGAATTCTTATTTAGACCTAAACATGAATAAATGTGTCCAGTGTAACACTAAGTACCTACAAATTGCATTAAAAAAAAGAGAGAGAGATTCAGAGTGACTATTGGTGGGAAAAAAATGGATGAAAGAATGAAATTGACTCTCAGTTGAAATTCATTGATTGTCTTTTTGAGGGCAACATGTTGCTACTTCAGCAGTCATCTGATTTCTATCTTTGCCTCAATTTTATCACCAGATGCAGAATTTTTTGTTCTCCTTATTTTTATGAAATAATTAGGGCTATAAATGCAGTAGAATAGTCTAATTTTTGCTCAACACTGAAGTAGAGACAAAGATGGTGGCGATGCTATAAAAAAAGGATTGTTGCTGGCAGCCAGCACCACAATGAGAAGCTTTAAATATTTATTTTAGCTGATGTACAAAAATCCAAACATGGTGTACAAAGTTCAGTTTGATGGCATTAGCATGTAGGGAGTTTTTAAAAGCTGAGGGCCACTTTTAGTTTGAAATAATTAGAGAAATATTCATACATTGATTTATTTTGGGGCTGGAAAACTGGCTTTAGTACCGGGGCTCCACTCTGGTCAGGTATTTACTGAAGGTGAAATCTGTTTCCACATTCTTTCCAGTGACAGCTCACGGCCATGGGCTGTGCTCTTCCCTGTGGTTCTCACCCAAACCATTCTTTCTGGCTGAACTTGACCAGAATTTCAAAACCCAGGAGTTTCTGATGGATAGTTGCCATTCAGCAGAAATCGAAGTCTTCTGGGGGATGATTATTACTGCTAGAAGCTGAAGAATTACAGTGGCAGTTTGATCTAAACAGTGATTCTGGAATGGGAACATAAACTTGTAGTCAGACACTAGATGCAGGAGAGAGAGAAGCAATTCACTTTTTAGTATGCCTCTGAATTTTGCTAATCATAATTAGCTTTTATTTATTTACATTTGGTTTATCGTTGCATAGTATTATGGCTCTGCCTCTAGAAGGAAAAAAAAAAGTAAAGATATGTTACTGAAATGCTGCCTTTCTAAATACGTATTTTAATATTTAAGCCATGGGCATTTATGCATTTATGTAGATAATGTTTCTGACAATTTGCAAGTGAGCATTTTTATAAACAAAATACCAATTTGAATAATCATTTCTTTTTGTTTTACAGAACCCCAGCTGAAAGGAATTGTGACAAGGTTATTCAGCCAGCAGGGATATTTCCTGCAGATGCACCCAGATGGTACCATTGATGGGACCAAGGACGAAAACAGCGACTACAGTAAGGAACATTAGATTCTTGCAATCCAGTCACAATGACATGTATAGACCAGTGAATTGTAGACTTAAAGCATGGCCAGGCTGCCTTTGAACAATTTAACTACAAGTGAACTGGTATCTTTTCCTTTATTTTTCTTACTATGATTCCCTTTAACAAAGAGGCAATAAGGGAGAATAAAAAATTAGGAGGCTTGAAGGAATTCCAACTTGGGACAGGACAAATTCTTTCATCCCAGTGTTTGTAGTCAGGATGACGGTAAGTATTCATAGGAATAAGGCAGACTTTATAGCCAGGATAGTGTTTTTAATCCTAGAACTAAATAGTAAACATGCTAAAATAGTTCTTAGAATAGCATTTCAGGCAGACAAACATTCTTAAGGTAAACATTGAATACATAGTATGTATATTGCATGTTATTTTATTTGGATTGAGGAAAAAATTATTTGTTTTAAAAGAAAAATATATTAAAATAATATGATAATATTTTGTAGTGTATGTGATAATAATAAGATCATTAAGATTGGGTGACCTGAAACTTTGATATAATTTTGGATATACAATGTCAAATGTTAAAATATTATTAATAATATCCCAGAAATAGTTTTTAACTAATTTAATCTTAGAGTCGACAAGTTTAATAACAACAAAATCATCAAGTTTTAATTGCGTATATTTGCATTTTGGAAATATTTTTAATATAAACTACAATACTAAGAATGATTACTGTCATCATCTTTCACAGTGATATGCATATACTGAAGAAAATTTGTATTGTTCTAAAATTATGTAGGGTGTTTTCTAAAGTTTGATTGTATTCACTGCTAGATCTTTAGTGTCAAGTGTATAGTAAATTCTCATTAAATATATATCCAATTAAATTGTCTTCTGATGGATATGATTGTGTGGTTAGACTGACAATCTACCAACAGGTAGATTGCATAAGGTAATCTAAGAAACTAGATATATAGTTTTAAAATATGTTTTCATTGATTTTTTAGAGAGAGGAAGGGAGAGAGAGATAGAAACATTGATGTAAGAGAAACATTGATCACTGCCTCCTGCATGCCCCCCACTGGGGATGGAGCCCACAACCTGGGCATGTGCTCTGTACAACCAGGAATCGAACTGGGACCTCTCAGTCCATAGGATGACACTCAATCCAGTGAGCCACACTGGCTGGACAGAAGCCTTATATTTTCATTGGAAATATCTTTCCAATTAAAAATAAGGATTTGAGGAAAGATCAACAGTTTCTAAAATGTGAAAATGCTCTAGTCCACCCCTTCTAAATTATTCTTTGTTCACTTAACATTATACATTACAAAATATAAATTACAGTAAAAAAAAACCCATCTTATTCTAAAGAATTTGATTCTAGTTTTCAGCAAAGTAGTTGATTAGCTTATTGTGGTTTGCATTGTTGCTCTGTGTGTGTGGGAATGCATTCTTTCAGTGATTTACATTTTCAACTGAGGACAGAAGAAAGAGGAGCCTTTTCTCTTCGGGTAGGATTTCCATCTATTGCATCTGCACATGAACGTGGATTTAGTAGTGACACGCAGATGGAGAGAATCAGAGGGGTCGCTAAGCTGGTCACTTGTGCTCTTTCTGAGGTATTCCTTGATCTGTTTTTGGTTTGTTTTTTCTATAAAATGAGGTGGCCAGAGATGATAATATTAATATCCTCCATCAGCACTATCCACCCCACTGTAAGGGAAAAAGATTGAAAAATTATAAATTGATGAAGATAGATTCAATCCACAAGTAAATCAAGTAGCAATACTCAGTTCCATAGGATCCACCTGTAATCCAGACAGCTGCCCTGCAGATGCATGACATTGACCATGGACAGTGTAGAAGGCCCCGGTGAAAGTGTGGGGCAACTTGGACAAATCCTTTCTTCACTTTTGCTAGAAAAGTAATTAAAAGTGCTTTCTCTCCTGATGTTTACAATAGACACAAATGCTATAGTTTTGTTTTTGTTTTTTATCCTCACCCGAGGACATTTTTCCATTTTTTTGTTCAGATAGAGTAGGAGGGAGAGAGAGGAAGAGAGAGAGAGAGAGAGAGAGAGAGAAACATTGACGTGAAAGGGACACATCGAGTGGCCACCACCCGCACGACCAGCCAGGGCCAGTGACAAACTGCAACCGAGGTACACACCCTTAGTGGCAACCGAACCCGGGTCTCTCTGGACAACAGGCCGATGCTCTAACCGCTGAGCCAAACTGGCCAGGGCAGACACAAATGCTATATACAGGGTGGGGAAAATAGGTTTACAGTTGTTCATATGAAAAATAATATAATAAGTAATAAACAATAAAATAATATAAGTAATAAACAATAAAACAAGAATCAACTCTGTATTTCACATACAAGTGTAAACCTACTTTTGCTCCCTCCTGTATGTATGATAAAATATATATCTATGCATAATGGCATTATACGTAATACACACACATACACACTGAGGGTGATATATTTTGTCAAATGCTTTTAGAAACTCTTCAAATTTACAAATTCAAAAATCTCTTATATTTTATTAAGATAAGTGATTGTACACACTTTTTGACATTTTGGTATTAAAATAATTTAGATGTACAAAATAATAAGACTAAGACAAAATAACCGGATACCCAGCCCTACGCTTAAAATTTAGTTAAAAATGTCAATCCATTCGCAACCTCTGTGTGTCGCCTCCGAGGGAGCTCTGCTTTCCTCCAGTACCAGGCGTAACAACTGTCCTGCATTGTTTACATCTGTGCTGTATTATAAATACATTTCTCACATATATGGATACTTAGAGCATTCATAATATTTTTGCATATTTGTAAATATTTTATAAGTGAGATTATTACTATACATACATTTTAGGTACTTTTCCTTCCCAATGTTATGGTTATGAGAGGCATATATGGTTTGCTTTATATTATTTATTTTCATTTTTTTAGAGTAATTGCATGAATATACCTAATACATTTACCAATTTTCTTTTTTGTGGATAGTCATCATTTCTATGTTAGGGCAATTACAAACAGTGCTACCAAGACATTTCTTAGAAATAGTGAAGCAACCTTCCCTGACCATCCTTTATAAAGTTACACATCTCTCCTCTGGCCCTCTTTATTCCGATACCCTACTTTGTTCCTGTCCATAGCTTTGATGACTACCTGACATCTATATCGTTGCTGTTTGTTTGTTTATTTGAGATCTTTCTCCCAGGAGAATGTAAGTCCCACAGATGAAGAGATCTTGTTTTGATCTTTGATGTATCTGTAGAACCTAGAATGATCTCTAATATATAGGAAGTACTCAACAAAAGTGGAACAAATGAATGAATGCCTCCTTGTGCAGATGTGCAGACATTTGTCTAGGTCATTGGCTAAGTACTCTTCCTACCCAAATATTTTTAAACTTTTTCTTTTGAAATAATTTTAGACATCAGAAAAATTACAAACGAATGCAGGGGATTCTGTGTACTCATCACACAGCTCCCCGAATAGTGCGAATTTACGTAGCAACAGTATCATGATCAAAACAAGGAAATTAATGCTGGTACCGTACTGTTAACTGAGCTTTAGACTTTGTTCACGTTTCACCAGTTTTTTTACTTTTTTTGTGATATCCCCTCCCAAAATTTTCACTGAAAATTTTTCAATGAAAACAATTTTTTATTTATACATTTTCTGAGTGGGGATTTAAAACGTCATAGGAAGATTGAAAAGTTTCCATTTTTTTTAATAGAAAATTATAAGCCTCTAAGATGTTAAAATGCCTTTTCTTTCTCTACTTTGTGTGGGCAGGCGTAAAAGCATTTAATTGTTTGAAAAAAAAAATCTTGTTACTATGAGCATCTGTCAGAATTGTGCTGTTTGGTTCACTAGACATCATTAGGTTCAACCAACCTTACTATGGTGTCTTGCATAGAATAGATAAGACACCTGTTCCTTTGTTCCTGAAGAAAAGACTAATTACATGTAATTGAGTACAAAAACAAATGGGCTTGTCAGCAGTAACAGATAAGAATCTCTGCAAATGTAATGACAACAAAAGATGCAAAACTGTGTTGGAACACTGGCACAAAAAACAAAACAATTGCAGTTTGGAGAGTATTAATTGGAATGTTTTACATAAAATTAGAAAGGTAATTATTCTGCTCCCTAGTTACTAGAGGAGAAGATGCACTTGAAGAGGTCAAACATGCTGGGGTGAAAACAATTAAGATATTATAACCAAATGCATTGTTCTCTTTTCCTCTGAACAAAAAAATAGTAAGAGCCATTTGATGTGGAAAGAACTGCCTGATAAATTTGCACCAGAGTGATACTGGAGGTATTCAAGCAAACGATGTACTGGCACATAGAACTGGTATTTTAAAAATCAGCTCTATGTTATGAGTTGCACATATTTTTATTCTTTTTGTTGCTTATCTCTCCACTTCTTTGCTGTGCTTTTTAAATTTAAAATATGCCTTTATGCCCTCAGTATTTTTTTCTTATTTAGAAGGGATTTACTCATTCCAAGATTATTTAGAATTTTTTTTTCATGTTTTGCTTTAGTAAGATAAAGGGAATTTACAAGAAAACCCCTGTGGTGTGGGAGGGGGAAGAAGACGATGGTGGTTGGGATAGTCTCAGAATTGAGTAATTTTTAAGGTCTCCTTCACTTCTGAGATTCTTCTTTAAATTTTATTTTAATCCTCACCAGAGGACATACTTATGCTTATTGATTTGAGAGAGGGGAAGGAAGATAGACAGGGAGGGAGAGAGAGGGAGGGAGAGAGACAGAGAGGGGGAGAGAGAGAGAGAGAGAGAGAGAGAGAGAGAGAAGAGAGAGAGAGAGAGAGAGAGAGAGAGAGGGAGATTAAGGTGAGAGAGAACATTGATTGGTTGCTTCCTGTACGTACCCTGACCATTAATTGAACCCACAACTTTTCAGTATATTAGACAATGCTCCAGCCAACTGAGCCACATCTGCCAGGGAAGTTCTGAGATTCTTTT